GACGATCACTTCCCTGCTCCTGCTGGCCACACCATTCCTGAAACAAGTCAGGATGCTGCTGGCCTTCTTGGCCACCTGGGCACACTGCTGCCTGGTGTCACAGGTCTCACCCCTTCCTTTTCTCCTGGCAGGAGATGGAGGCACGCTTGCTGGAGCGGAGCTCCGAGTGGCAGAGGTAACACTGGCTGTCTGGGCAGAGGCACTGCTCTGTTAGGGGCGAGCAGGTAGCAGGGTGAAATCCCCACAGCAAAGCTTAGGAGGGGTTTCCAGATCTGATTTGCTTGGGGCAAAGGACAGGTTGTGAGGTACAATCTTGGAGGGAAAGGAGGGATGGGTATATGGGTGTATCGGCAAGAAGGTGCCCTGGCTGGCAGCAGGGCTCAAAGGGTGATTGCAGCAAATGACCTTTGCCACCATCATTTTTCATCACTGTGGGGAATGTGGCCCTTCAGCCAAGGGGCAAGCTGGGGATGCTTTCCCATGGGATGCAGTAGAAGAGGTCATTGCCACAAGAATTAAACCCATTTGGGGCTGGAGGTGGGGTTGAGCATAGGCATGGGGGATGAACGTCCTCCCCCAGTTTGCAGAGGGGAGCTGGGATTGTCAGTGCAAGGTTTTGTTGCCTTTCTCTTGGCACAGCTCGGTGCAGGAGAACCTGCGAGGGAGCTTCCAGCGGGAGGTGGGCAAGCTGCAGCAGGAGGTGGCAGCGCTGAGGAGGGAGCTGGCTGCCCTCAAGTCGGACCAGGAGGTGATGGGGAAGCACGTGGAGGGGATGCTGGAGCAGCTGAAGGCAGTGCGAGCTGACGTGAGTCCCTGGTCCCCACCCTGTTTGGCAGAGGGAGGTGCAAGGGTCCTTGCCCTGGGGCTGAGCTCTGTCCCCACCGTTTCAGGTGGAAGCGCAGTTCCCAGCATGGGTCAGTCAGTTCCTGTCACAGTCCCGGCGAGATGGCACTGCTGGCCTCATCCTCCAGCGGGAAGACTTGCAAGCAGAGCTCCAGGCCCTGGAGCGCAAGATCCTGGCCAAAGTCTTGGAGGACCGGAGGCTGTCAGCACGGGATGCTCAAGCCGGTATTGGAGTGGCCCTGCAGCAAGGGGGGACCGCGGGGGTGACGGAGGAGGTGAGTGCTGGCCTGAGCCCCAGGGACATGATGGTGACCACAGGTTGGGGATCGGGGGCTGTGCCCCATTGCATGTGTGCAGGGGGGGCTGGCACCTGTGCTTGGCAGATGGCAGAGCCATGGGGACAGCCCTTACAGCTGGGACATTGATCCTGGGCTCGCATGCCACTTGGCAAGAGCATCTCTGAAACTCCTTCATCCCTTCTCTGCGGTCAGCCTCCCCTGGGCTGTGCCTGTGCCCTGCTCTGGAGGGGGTCACGGGTGGTGATATCCGCATGCCCACGAGGCTCTTGCTGTCTTAAAATCGAAGTTTCTGCTCGTGCATCTTTCACACAGAAAGTGGGGTAGATGCCAGCAAGGTTTCCACGGGTTGAGCATCTTGCTTACCCCTGTCCTTCAGCGGTGCTGCTGAGTCATTTGGGGCAAAGCATTTCAGCAGAATGACACCAAGGGGAAAAATGAGCCTGCTTGCTTTGGAAAGAGTTGCTGGCAATTCCCTGTGGAGGTGGTGGAGGGAGGGGTCAAGCTGGGATTAGCACGCCCCCCAGTCTGTGCCAGCTTCGTGCATGCCATAAAGTTTAGACTCATGGTCGTGCTGCAGGGTCCCAGCTCCTGGGGCTGGGTTTGGCTCCAGAAGGATGCTCCAGACAGCTCCTCCTTTTCCAGATGAGGGGAGCTCCCATCAGTCCTGTGGGACAGGGCAGGAGGGACCAGCAGATGTTGCTGGGGAGGACTGGGTGGGCTGTCAGGTTGTGTCTGGTACCTGCTGGGTGATACCCCTCCTTCCCCTGGGGCCAGCCCCTCTTTTGGGATGGGGACGGGTGAGCCCAGGGTGCCCGGGTGCTGTCCCTTCATTGCACAGCTCCTTTTGTCTGGGGTATTTTTAGCAACCTCTAACGAGGCTTCCCAGCCAAATGCGTGTCCTCTCGTTTTTGCCACGGTGATTCATCCTCCGGCTGTTTTGTGGGAAGGTCCCTGCGCCCTCTCCGTCCCTGCAGGGTGGAGGCGGGTGGGGGGCAGGAAGGACACCCACCCTAGCCCTTCATCCCTCTCATGCCCTCTGCTCCCACCGCAGCAAGTGCATCTCATCGTGGGCCAGGCCCTGAAGCGCTACAGCGAGGACCGCGTGGGGATGGTTGACTACGCCCTGGAGTCGGCGGGTAGGTGGTGGGGGGCTCTCACCCACCCGGGATGAGCCGGCCATGCTGGGGAGGGGACCGCAGGGTGCTGGCATGCAGCTTACCTGCTTCTGTCCCCTCTCTGTGCCAGGGGCCAGCGTCATCAACACCCGCTGCTCGGAGACCTATGAGACACGGACGGCACTGCTGAGCTTATTCGGCATCCCCCTGTGGTACCACTCGCAGTCCCCCCGTGTCATCCTGCAGGTGGGCACCATCAGGGCGAGACCCCACTGAGGGGAAGGACTGGCTGGGCTGGTTCTCGCGTGGGCTTGGTGGGTTTTATTGGGCTCTCACTGTTGCTCCAAGCAAGCAGCCAGGCTGATGTTGGGGGGAGAAAAATGGCACTGATGGTGATAATGTTGCTGGTGATAACGTTGCTGGTGTCTTGCTCCCATGCTCATAGCCAGATGTCAACCCTGGGAACTGCTGGGCATTTCGTGGGTCCCAGGGCTTTGCTGTCATCCGCCTCTCTGGCATCATCCGCCCCACAGCCGTGACACTGGAGCACATCCCAAAAGCCCTCTCGCCCCAGGGGACCATCCCCAGTGCCCCCAAGGACTTCGCTGTCTATGTGAGTGCCCTCACCCAGACCTGGGGGGACATGGTGGGAGGGTGCCATGGTGGAAGGTGTGGGAGGGGAGGGCTAGTGAGCCCCATACATGGCTGTGGGGGGCTCTGGGGGGTTGGTCTTATGGTGAAGAGGAGGAAGAAGCAGTACTGGGAGGGAGAGGGGGAGCACCAGGCTTCAGGAGGGTTTTTGAGGGACACTGGGAGAGGGAATTGAGTAGGTGTGACTCTCGGTCTTCCCCCCCGCCATCCCTCCCCACTGGCCCCTGTCCCCATTTGTCCATTTTGGCTTGGTAGAGCAGGAGCGGGGGCCAAGCGTGCTTGCCTTTCCATCTCCCTCTTCCGCCCTGGGTGCGCTCATCGCCTCCAGTCTCCCTCTCTGATCACCCCCGGTTCTCCCTTTCTGCCTCCCTGCCCCTCCGTAGGGCTTGAAGGAGGAAGGAGAAGAGGAGGGCCTTCTCCTCGGGCAGTTCACCTACAACCACGATGGCGACCCCATCCAAACATTTTACTTGGAGGTAAGTGCTTTGCCCTCAGAGCACCTGACCCCAAGAAGGGAACGGGGCCCCTGGGGTCTCTGAGCCCTTAAGAGCTTCCAAGGGCTCAGGTTTGTCCTTCTCCCTCTCCCTAAGGGTGACGCTGTGGGCACGTACCAGCTGGTGGAGCTCCGGGTGCTGAGTAATTGGGGACACCCCGAATACACCTGCATCTACCGCTTCCGCGTGCACGGGGAGCCGGCACACTGACTCCCGGCTCCCGTGCGGGATGAGGATGCTGCCGGGCTGACAGCAGGAGGGGGTTCGTCTGGTTCGCCGCTTCGCACGTAGAAATCCTGGGATGCGCCAGCAGCTGCCCCAGGAAGCTGCTCCCCTCTGGGGAGAAGAAGAGCTGGTGTTTAAGGTGTGAGGCTTTCACTCTTCCAAGGACCGGTGTGGCGAGGCAAGAGCATCCCACGTGGGTCCTAGCGCAGCCTGGCTTGTTTTCAGCGCGTATCGGACATTTTAACTTTTTAAGCTAATTTTTTATCGGGTCTGCGCAGCCCCTCGTCCTCATTGCACTGCTGCTCTCTGATGGCGTGCCTAGCGTTGCCGGGGCTTGGGGAAGGGGTATGTAACTTTGCGATGTGCTTCACGCGGGCTTGGGCGCGATACAGCGTACGGGACCGCAGTGACCGTCTCGGTGCTGCCGGAGTAGGTGGGAGCCATGGGTCACGGCCACCGAGTCTCCCCCCTCCACATGAGGTCATTTCTTCTGCCTCGGTGTTGGTTTAGGTAAAGATCTCCAGACCTCCGATGCTGGGCTGGCAGAGGGGAAATAAGACAGTATTAATGAAGTATTAACATAAAACTAACGGTTTGGGGTAGCAGGAGGGGAGAAATTCAGCATGAGTTGGTGGTGGAGCCCACCCCGGTGCTGCTGTCCGTCCGATCGAGCCCTGCTGCCGTCGGTGGCTGTGTTGGGTCTTGGCGATGCTGTTGGGCCCCCTGGCTGGCCGGCTCCCTGGTGTTAAGCTTGATGATGCTATTGAAAACTCTTGTCGCCTGCTTCCCCTTTTGGGTTTGTTCTGTGGTTTTGTTGTTTGCTTTTTTTCTTTTTTTAAGGGGGGTGGGGAGGGGGTGTATTTTCCAGTTGGGGTGTTGGGGAATTTTTTTTTTTTTGTAGTAACAAAGGAAAAAAAAACTTTTTCCATGCGATTTCTACTTAACCGGAGAACGCTACGTGGTGCCGCTCAAGCGAGTGGCTTAGACACGGAGAGGGCTAGAGCTTTGTTTGGTAGGAGAATAGCGTGTGCAGTAGGATAAGCTAGAATAAGATGAGCAGAGCTGCTTAAAATAAGGGCTGTTAGTGGCTT